ATAGATTCCTTGCTGCAATCTGTGACTCCTAATAGTTTTTCTGAATTCCCACTGTGATCCTTGCTTATTCTAAACAACTTATTTTCTGAATCCTACAAAAAGTAATTGTTTCTCAGCCCTTCATCCCTGTCTCTCCATAAAAGTAACCCTAATTTGACCTGGTTTAGAAAAGGCAACAGTATCAGGCTGAACCACAGATAACTACTGATTTTGAATTTCTTACCTACAAATTCAGCAGTCTCATGGGTTCAACCTAATCACTTTCTATAGGCAGACAAAGTCCCCGCCATAATGTGAAGATGCCTTTTCCGTTGTAGGGGTATTTTAGCCACATAGGTACAGCATGCAGGTTCATCATGCCTCAGCAGAGTGAACTCCTGAGTGCTCAAACTCCATTAGAAAAGACTAGCTGAGGGGCTGGAGAGATGGCTCAGAGATTAAGAGCACTGACTGCTCTTCCAGAGGTCATGAGTTCAATTCCCAGCAACCACATGGTGGCTCACAGCCATCTATAAGATCTGGTGCTCTCTTCTGGCGTGCAGGCAAAACATGCAGGTAGAACACTGTATACATAATAAACAAAATCTTTTAAAAAAAAAAAGAAAGAAAAGACTAGCTGGCTGTGTTGTTTAATGGTTTGGGATGAAGGCAATTGTAATGATGATCCGTGCTACTATCGTTTGGCAGCGTTAGTTTGATCCCACAAGGAAAAGAATCAGTGTTTAGTGGCCTCTTCAGAATGGCACCCCGCAGCACATTCTATGTCTCAGAAATGTTCTTTGATAACTTCTGCTGGGACAGTAGTTCCGGGTGCCTCTCAATCTCCATGGCCCCTTAAAAACTGAAAAGTAAATGAAGTGAAATTGTATTTTCAAAAATCAATATTAATTTTCCCTATTTCCTCTTAACTGAAGTTTTCTTTAAAAAAAAAAAAAAGTATCAAGTAATGTCAACCACCAAAAAGCAAATGTTTTCCAGATCCCTGTTTGCAAACAGTTCAGCCTTTACTGGACCACAGTTGCTTGTCCAGGTACTGTATGTGGTTTGTGCATATGCATGGCTTCATTTTTAGAACATAAAAAGCTTTTCAGAGATGCTTTTCGCCCCAGCAGCTGGGCAGTCAGGAAATTCTGACTGTTCTGCCACCAAGTGAAGGAATAAAGCTCAATCAGGGCAACTGTCTCCTGCCTTACCCTGGCTCTCCTGAGAAGCAGCACTGGCTACAATGACAGCAAATCCTCAGGAGCCCTGCAGGAGCTTGGAGCTGAAGCCTGGAGAAGCTTGGGGAGAGTGGCATTCTTAGTTTCTTTTGAGTATTTACTGTATTTTATTGTTAGTATACTCCCTCCCCTCCCTCCCTCCCTCCCTCCCTCTCTCTCTCTCTCTCTCTCTCTCTCTATATATATATATATATATATATGTATATATATATATATATACACATATAAAGAATTTTAATTAGTGTGCACTTGAGTGCAAGTGTGCCTGTGTCTTGATGCTTATGTGGTGCTAAGAAATTTGTTTTCCTAATTCTAAAATGACTTTACAATACCAGCCCCTCCCCTCCTGTTATTTGATTGAAAGAGATGCACAAAGCATTGTTCCATGACCCTCATGCATACACAGTAGTACTAAAAACACTTCTTGACAAAAGGAATGTTATTTCTGAAGCCTTATTCCCTAATGTAAAACCTGTATCTCATACTAGTCAGCCCTGGATCTCCAAATACAGAGTTTGAACATGCTACCAGAATTTTAAGGCAAAAGCTCCAACTATAGGTATCACAACAATCTAGGCTTGGTCACACACAATATACTAATAAAACAGGAGTGGTGAAATGCAGAACAATGTAATTGGCATGGCCAAGGTAGGAGGACCAAGTAAAGGAATGTATGACCCCAAGTTCATCCTCATGGACAAAACAAGATAAGATTGTACTGGCGAGGCTTGGAGTTTAACAAATAGCAGGTGATGTTTTGGGACAGCATTTGGTGGTTCTCATCAGAGGTGGTGTGTAACCTGTGAAACTTACTGTTGTTGATCAGGGATAGTTTGAGAACCTTGTCATAAAGGTGTTTATTCATCTTGAAATCCAAGATTAACTTTAGATGAGTGACCAAGGAAAAAAAAAATTGGAGATAAAAAGTAGACCCAAGAGGGGGGTAGGATTGAGCATGGTGGATCACACCTTTAACCCTAGCACTCAGAAAGCAGAGGCAAATGATTGTTAAGACTGGCCAGGGTAAAATAGTTTCAGTCCCTACCCGCACCCCCACCACACACAGCACTACAAACCTGTCAAAGGATTTGGATTCTTCTAGACATTTCTTTGAATGTGGTCTTTGCTATCACATGGATGGTGCATTAAGGTTGTGAAGGTTAGGTGTACATGGACAAACACACCCATTCACCAAGGCAGACCAATAGAAACCAGGAGTACTGGTGAAAACAGCAGTAGTTCATCTGCAATTGACACAGCTGCTGCACAGGAGATGACACTCACTCTTTAGGGGTGACATCACTGGCTTAGAGGAACCTTAACAGAATTTTCATGATAGGTTTGGCCCCACCTTAGGATGCCTTGTTTATGAGGGCTGTGGGTTGGATGCTATCTTAGCGTTACCATTGCTGTAGTAAATACAACCAAAGGCAATTTGGGGAGGAAAGGGTTTATTTTAGCTTAAAGTTTCACATCACAGTCCTTCACTGAGGGAAGTTAGGGCAGAAACCTGGAAGCAGGAGCTGATGGAAAGGCTATCAAAGAATGATGCTTCCTGGCTTGCTCAGCTTGCTTTCTTATGGAATCTAGGACGGTCAGCCTAGGGGGAACCACAGGAAACTGAACCCTCCCACATCAATCACCAACTTAAAACATGCACCTGTTTTACTCAAAGGCCAATCTGGTGGGGGCACTTTCTCAATAAAGTTCCCTCTTCCCAGATGAGTCTAGCTTCTGTCTGGACAGTCTGTGGCTGTTTGATGTTTTTACCCTCAGGTGCTGAGGTCTAACTACAAGCCCCCCAAAATAGTAGCAATGTCCCTGCTAGTCTAGTTACTAGTAAGTGCACTGAAAATGAATTAGGTTGCCTTTTCTGAGTTTTGTCCACATCTAAGGATTTTTTTCAGCATGTGAATGTTGAATGTGTACATGTTCATATATCTAGGTACACTTGTGGGTGTGTAGGCTACATGCATGAAACCCCAAGGTTGATATTGAGTCTTCCTCAATTGCTTTCCACTTCAGTTTTCCCATTTATTTTAAAGTGTATGGGTATTTTATCTGCATGTATGTCTGTGTACCACATGCATGTAATGCCCATGGGGGCCAAAAGAAGGCATCAGGTTCCTGGAACTGGAGTTGGAGGCAGTTGTGAACTCCATGTACTGGGAATCAAACCTGGGTCCTCTGGAAGAGCATCCAGTGTTGGTAACCACTGAACTATTTCTGAGAGAGATTATATTGGCAAGGTTTAAATGAGTTCTCTAGGAAATAAAAAGTTCTGTAAACAACGATTGGTTTTAGAAATGTTTTATTTGTTCCCAGCACATCTTTTAAAATTTACACATGGGCAATTTTTGTTCTAAAACAACACAGTCTAAGAAAAACCAATAAAAGGAAATTCTGAACATACACTAAAAGCATGGTATATGGACTACGCATTGAGCCCTTGTGGAAACGGATGGCATGGCTCAGTTTGACCTTGACAAGCTCTACTAGAACCTCTGAGAAATGTTACCTCCCACCACATATCCACTTTAGACTAAGTATAAAGGGAAGATTTGTTTCCTATGCATTAGTTACAGTGGTATAATGGCTTACATATACATTTTACCCATATGTAATTCCCAAAAGATTACTACAGCACTGGCAGAAACATGGACTGCCATGGAGGAAGACTCAGGATAAGGTATTATTCAAGTCAAGTTGTATCAGAGCAAAGTATTTCACAGGTTTAGCAAAAAAGGACAAAGCTAGAGAACATACCTACTTTCTGGAAGGATTTGTTATCGCCCAGGAACAAAATATTATTCCCATGGCACCATCACAAACAAAAAAGACGGACACACAGCATAAGGACTACAAAGCCTGCTTCCAGGCTCTACTCCTTAGGCAGCTGTATAAACACACCAAAAGCATACAGTGGGAGTCTCAAGGCTTGCCATGCCACATCTTAGGGCTACCAGGTTGGGACAACAGGAATCAAAAGTATCTCACCGATTAGATGCTTGAGTCCAGGTTCGGCATATAACTGATTAAATATATAGATAACTCAAACCAACACTGAACAGTATTTCTACCATACAATCACCAAATTCTGATGTGTTCTTGGAGAGGAAGAACCTTGAATTGCTGAAGCATCTCTGTCTTTACAGACATGCCCTCTCTCATTTAAAATTGTTTCATGGAAGAAAAGAGAAAAATCCCAAGAAGGCACTGTGTGCTTTAAGGGGTTAGTGTTAAAATCATCACTCAATAAATACCCATTTAGAGAAACTCCAGATAGAGGAATTGAGGACCTCTGTGAACAGTCAAGGAGATAACAATGTTTCACAGGATGAGTGTTGTGCTGCTGAGAAACAACATGAACAATCAGCTGCTTCCAAATGAGTGTAGCCAAGCAGTCTATGCTCAAGAATTCTCTTTCCTGTTTCCCTGCTCTCAGGAAGTAAATCCCTAGTTTAAAAAAAAAAATTGTTGAAACAATGTATTACCTATTCCTTCTTTAAAAATAAAACAATATCCTTTGGGAACAACATCAAAAGGGTCTTTTCATGTTCACAGAATAGAAGTAACTCTGTGAGGGTTCTTTGGCTCGAGTGTGGTCTACATCAGTGATCTTCACTCCCTCTTTTAAGGTACTGACTGTACTCATTTACAGAGTGTGAGAACACTCACTGTGACCGTCCAGGTTTGAAAGGGAATGCTTCAAAGTCACAAAGACTCAACACCACCTAAAAGTTTAATCTTGATTTTAAAATAACTGGAGACACAGATACATTCAGCTATAAAGTCAAAGGGATTTAGTCATAGTTAAGTTTGTCTTGATTATGCTACATTAGCAGACTTATATGCAAACAGAAGAAAAAACAGCTTCACACCTCCTTTTGATTTAAAAAAATCATAGGCCATGTCCATTTTATTAATAATGTTTCTATAATCTGTTAACATTATACAAGCAGTTTTTACAGTTAAGTTTCACACTGAAGACAAACACTATTTGGCTTAAGAACAGAAAGCTGGGTTACATCCTTCATGTCAGACACACACTTCAACAGTTGAAGAAAACTTTTATACTTTCTAGATTTCCCTCTCGTTGTAGAAGTGATTTTCTTTTTTTCAGCAAAGAGAAAGAATTAAATGAATCTGCAGGCAGATGGCTCCTACTGGAGTATAAAGCCCTGAGCCAAGTTAAGCCTCCACAAAGGACAAAGCCAAAGGCAGAAACTCAGACTCTCCAGTCCTAGCCTGCTCCTGTATGCTCCCTGCTGTGCTCCCTGCCACAAGTGGAGCCCAGTTAAAATCAAAATCACTGAAGAAGTGAGGGGGAAAATACCCCTCAAATTTACTAAAGCTATTCATTGGTGTCTCTCAGAGCTCCTCAAACTGGAGATAAACCTTCCATAGGCAGCATCTGTGGCTGCTCAGGCATTGTCACCCACGGTGTGAAGGGTCCCTCTACATCACTGTGTTCTGACAGTGATACCAAACCCAGCTCCATTTGGAGCAGCACACTTCATGTCAGCACTTCAGAGCTTCTCTGATCAGCTATAGTTAGAAGCTGTTGGTACGAAAGAATATGACAAAGGAAAATCTCTGGGACTAACATGCAGAAAGGCTTTTTCAAATATGCAAACTAGTACTTGGTTACAATATTCTGGAGGGGGAAAAAGGGAGGGTTCTTGCATGTGTTTATATCTAATATAATATACACACTGATGGAAGCTTGTCTTTTATTGAACTTTTGTTTTCCAAAATAAACTAATAACACAAATATGAATACTAGAAGGCTTTCAGATTCATAAATAATGTTAGATCAATATTCCTACAATATGTAAGCAGAATTTAATCCTGTATTCTTTGATGAAATACTGGACACAAGAAATATGTGGCCTCACATTCCAGCTAAATAAGAGGCTCAAGGAACATAGCATGAGACTCAATTCACTTATGCACCACTATACATCACACCACACATTAAGGCAACAGTTTCTCCAAGGTCAATAAAGCCTGTCCATTTGAGTCTTTAGGATTTAAATCTCACTAAAGTCCCAACCTACATGTGACATCACCATACTTAAGCAAAATATCACACATATAACTAATCTAAGGATAGGTCAGTGTTAGGTGCTTCTGAATATCAAACAGGCTTTTAAAGAAACTAACCTATGAGTTAAGATGCTTTGGGTAACAATATTCTCCTAGGTTTAGCTTCATGAAGCCACGTGCAGACACTTCTGAAAGAGGCAAGGTTTAATAAGTGCTTTGTGCATATTCATAAACTCATGTTCCTCCAAAGACACAGTCTACCTGGAGGCACCTCCCAGAAGTGGGTGGCAAGGCTTCCTGATTTACAGCCAGAGTGAAACAGTACTAGTGAATGTTCTTGTGTCTCAAAATGATCCCTGTTGAAAAATGTAGTAACCATTATAGAATCAAGGTTGGTCAGGACTGCATACAGAGGAAAAGAGAAAGACATAAACTGCTAACCTCCATAAAGTTCATGTCAGACAGTGAATCCAACTACTTCAGGTGACAGTTACACTTACAGCACAGATTGCCAAGGCTGTGGAAATCTGAACTCCTTGGAGAAAAGGTTTTAACAATCACATGCAAGGAAATGGATATGCTAATAAATTTGTTTATTAAAAATAATTACTTGGAAACATGTATACACTTCCAGTGAGATGTTGGAATCTTACTAAATGTTACATATCAATCACCAATTAGAGAATCACCTTCATGAAGAGATGCATTTTATAAAGAATCTTATAGTTCTAAAGGCTATTTCCTTGAGTGTCCAGCTATTTCAAACCATCAAAATCTTTAATCAAAGATATGGAAATTTTATAATTGAAAATAAATCATCAATAAAGAGGCAGCTTCCAAAAAATAAACATTGAACTAATGCTTAATATTGATTTTTCCTACAGATTTAAATTTGTTAGTTTGAGGCCAATTTTAATAGTTAAAAATTACTTATCATTTTGAAGTCTTAAAAATATCATTTTGTCAATTTTAAATTTTCACTGTTCTGTTTAAGGCTACTTCAGATATAAAAGGTATCAAACTGCCCCAATATATTTGGAGCTGTGGCTACATAGACAAACAATGTGTCCTTTTAAAGGATCGTTTGCAGTTTGACTTACATTATCTGATTAAATATTTAAAAAAATTATCAAAAGTTAGATATTGCATTAAGAAAAGAACCCATCTCACAATGTGAATCAGAAACCTCAACAATGATTTAAAGCAATTGTTCCACTTATTTCAATATCCAGTTGTGAGTGTAAAAATGTCTGCTAAATGTGATTAATAGTCTCTTTTATTTAAGAAATAGGATATTTCAAACTTGTGATTATGGCATATGCAGTAATACATTTTTAAAATTTAGGTTAAACCAGTAATTCAAAAAGTCATTAAACCATTATTAAGAACTGAATTGAAACTAATTTTCCATGAAAATTTATCAGGCTATTTGTGGCTAATTAGAAAAAAAGATTGTTGTCATTGAAATTATAGAGGCTTTCAAATCTAAGAGTCAACTGACGACTGTTTCTTTAGCCAAATAATTCTTTAAACTGGAGACAGCAGGTTCAGGAGCCTTCCTTTTGTCCATGCTGCAGCTGCCTGTGCAGCTTGGCAACAAGCATGAGACAGCATGACATGCGGACTGGGGGACGGACAATAGCCTTCAATTCATGGTAAACCTGCCCATCGCCTGTGCTAAGGCAGCTTTTCTTACAAAGCATGCTACGGATGGTGTAGGACACAACAACAGGTTACTCACAGTGACACAAATACAACTCACACCTACTAGAAACAGACATGAGGACAAAAATGTGTCTGCTCACAGAGTAATTTGTATGTTGGCAATTTAAGTTTGTAATTGTGTATTCACTTCAAGCAAAGCTTAGGCTGAGCACCTTATACAGATGAAGGCATGCTAGTAACAGACTGCTGGCTCTGGCCTGAGTGTCCTCTCCCTCAATGGCCTACTCCCAGGAAAGGACAATTTTAACAACACACAAATATCTCTCCCCAGCAGAATCTTTGCTAGATATCTGCTTTAGAGAAATGTTTAAGAAAGGACACAACAGAGGAGAGGCTAGATGAGCAGCAGATGACACCATCTGCCTCGGCTCACCTAGAGGAGCACATAAAACAGCTGGCAGCATCTTCTTCAGATAACGGACAGCCTTGTGCTGCCTGACTAAAATCTGAAATGACAACCAGTTAGTTGGCTATAAACGGGTACATCTACAATGAGAGAGACCTAGGAACGCCATCTGTCAATCTATAGATGTAGAAACAAAGCACAGAACAAAAACCAACTTATTTGAAACCAACAAACAAATGTACAGTCCTTGATATATTTGATTACTGGTATAACCATAGCTGATGACTTTAAAAAGGTAACATTTTTCATAATGCTATCCATGGAGTTACAAAAGGTTTCTGTTTCCAAAGATGTTACTGGGGTCCACATATTCCTTGACAGACTTTAGCATCCCAAAGCCGACATCAGAGATGCTCTCCTTTAGCCACTGCTTTCGTAACTTGCCCACTGGAAAACAAAATCAAAAAGGCTTCAGTACACACCTTGAATGCTGGAAACCAATCAATCTTGTGACCATGAGTGAGCAAACACTGTGTGATAAATGCTTTTATTCAAAAATGAGAAATGTTTTGCTTTATTTGATTTATTGAGCCCACCAGACTATCAAGCTCATTAAGCCCAATGCATTCCCAGGGGAAGTGTGTGCCCCACAGTGTCTGTCTCCTTTCTCTGTAAACTATGAAATGGAGATTGAGGGAAGTGTGGACTGAGATCACAGTCTATTTTACAAACCACAAGATGAAAAAGATCATGCTTATCCAAAAGCCTACCCCTTGTTATAACTCCTGGCAAGTCAAAATTTTGTAGAAAATGAAGCTTGCTGAAGAAAAATATAGAAAAATAAATCTGTTGGGTAGAATTGACAAACATGACAGGCTATAGCTCTTTGAAGTATTTTAAGGAGTACACTTGAGAGAAATGAGAAAATGACTCAAAAGATGGGGGGTGGGCAGACCTAGTTATGAATTCTTCCAATCAAAAATTCTTTTCCAAGTGCTTTAAATAAATCCATGTACCTCAAATGACAGTTGACATTCTTGCCATTGTCCAGCCAGATCCAAACATTTTTCTTTTTTTGACATACACAAAAGCCTAATCTGTTTTAAACTTAACTTCCTCTTAACTGTCCACTTTATATTTTTCCTTATGTTTTACAAACTTGAGGCAATGAAGTATCACAACAATTAGCCTAGTTAATTATTTTTAAAGGCACTAAATAAAAAACAGCCTTTTCTACCTAAAACTTTTGTGAGGGACAGGCAAAAAGAAATCTGACTTTAACTTGCTTTGGCACTGAAAGCAATGCAGTGTATTCTCTAACATGACAAAATGTGAGTTTTAATCTATGGTAGGGCTATTCACAGTGAGCACTTCTCAAACATATGCATTATTATAGTAACTGGATTCAAATGGCCACTTTGCACAAATGTTCATTAATGATCCAAAGTCATCAACAGAGATTTAATTGGCCAACAGAAATGGGAAGCCTTTCATTAAAGTATTTGTCCTGCCACTCTAAAGTGCACTCCCATTCATCAGGCTGTAGAAATACATCACAGCAAACGCCTTTTGGAACCTTAAATACCACACCAGCTCAGCTCAAAGCAGCTTTCAGGACCACTTTTCTAGGAAACCATAAAACCACCATCCAAATAACAAATGGCACAATGCTTCAGAAAGCCAGATATTTGTGGGTGGCGCAAGAAACAACAAAGCACTGTAGTGCGACAATACAAGAAGCAAGGTCTAATGGGGGGGAAGATCTAAAGTTCACAGTGAAAGTTCTGTCCAGAGATCTCTGTCTGAAAGCAGACCCCTCTGTCTCTCTCTCTCTCTCTCTCTCTCTCTCTCTCTCTCTCTCTCTCTCTCACACACACACACACACTCACACACACTCACACACACTCACACACACACACAGACTCCTCAAACAGCCTCCACCTGAAGAACTCTAACAGGACCACTATCACCTCGGCACCATGCTGCAACCTGAGCTTTTTCATCTGCGAATGAATTCACTTATTCAATTGTAGCATCCTAAGCAAGTTAAAAGTCCGAATTTCCAGATTTGCTTCGTGAGGCTGACAAGTAAACAAATAAACAAGCAGCAGCAGCTACTCTGAGTTGTGGAAGGTGCTACTCATGCTGCAGCAGCTCAGGAGAAGGATGAAGAGCAGTCAGAGCCAGTCTCCACGGTTATCTGTAATATAGCTTCACCGAATGTGTCCTGTGGTTATGGATGTAATTGTCCTGAAAAGACGGCAAGCAACTGCTCCAACAAGATGGAGCACATTAGAAGCTCAGCAGGATGCCCAACAGCTAGCTTGTCTGCCTGGTTTTACACCTCTAGTAATAATGCAATTCCACAAGGAACTGAACCATTGTCTAAGAAGCCACCCAACAGCCACTGCATACTTAATGAAGTCACTCACCAAGCACTGGAAAACAGAAGGTGCTTGGAGTGCATCATTAGTTCTGTCAGAAGGATAATTTACACATCTATCTTGTCAAATTGTCTATGGTTTATACTTTGACAATAATCAATCTAACATACATTTGATTAGTGAATTAGCAAGCAACGGGGGAGAAGGCATAGCTTTGGCCCCTCATAAACATGTTTGATGAAAGAATTTAACCCATTGGTGGTACTGGTCTGTGAGTTGCTTCTGCTACTGGTAACAGAAATAGCAAAGCAAGGGGTTGGAGTCATGGATTACCCAAGTAAAGGGACTAGAAATCTTTGCTTTTGCTTAGCAAATTAAGCCAATTACTCTGTAGAGTAAGTGTGCAAGGAGGAAGCATAGTTTAAATATGAGCATCCCGTGAGACTTACTAACCAGACAGTAACTGGAAAACAGTGCTGAGATTCTGGGGAACTATGTATGGCTGCCTGAGATGCATTAAGAAATTAAAACAGCACAGGCCTATGCCTAGAAAAGGAAGTGGCTTGTAAGTACAAGACCTGTCAGCCCCAGTCACCTAATGGATAAGACACTTGCCTCCCAAACACAAGACTTTCTTTCCAGAGCTGGACCATAATGTCCTTCAGAAAATTCTTAGCTTGCTATATATTCATCAATTAGGGTCCACACTCATCTGTACACATGTTATACATGTGCTAGACACTTACATGGTAGCTCCTTAAACATTTACACAGCTTATTGTCTGCAAAGAAACAGTTCTATTTATGTAGCATGTTACATCATATCAAAAAGAAATGAATGAATAGCTACAAACATTTGCTACAATATTTGCTAATATGACAACTTCTACATACCATGTAGCAGTCAGTACTAAGAAGCATTACATGATAAAACTTAAGCTTTCTTTACCACAATTATCCTAAGTGTGGTGTTAATAGCTATTTGAGAATCTAATGGCCAGGGAAATCCTTTTCTGCTTAAACTAAAAATGGATTTCACATTTTAAGTCTGGTTTCCAGTTGTGTCTGTGTGCATTTAATGAACAGACAGGGTCAAGGGTAGACAGGAATCCCAGGGTTGGCTTTTGAAATCACTTAACACAACTTTGGAGAGATTCAGGGAACAGTGTGTTTTGTAGTATGATATATAGCATTAAAAAAATGAACAGAGGCCAGAGCGATGGCTCAGTGAGTAAAGGTTTTGCTCTACAAAAGCATGAGGACCTGAGTGTGGGTCTTCAGTACCCATATAAAAGGCAGGTGGGGACAATTGTCTGTAAACACAGTGTTATGTGTGGGCAAAGATATGCAGGTCCCCGGGGCTTGCAAATCCCATGTTCAGGAGACCAGTAGTTCACACACGTGCACACACGAGTTGAAGACACACATGCACACAGGTAAGGGTAAAGTTAGTGGTGGAGACTTGATGGGTGGCCTGACCCACAAACATTTGGAACTACTCTATGTGGTTTAGGAGACTGAAGACTTAGCAGAAACTGCTGAATAATTCTATCTTAAAGAACTAAATCTGGGCCAGCTGAACACAAGGGTCTCTTATCTAGATATGTGTAACTTGTTAGTCAGTTTGATTATAAGAGCAGAAAGACTTTTACAGATTTATAAAGGAAGAACAAAATGGGAGGATTGGCACAGTGGTAAAGTGCTTGCCTAGCATGCAGCAAGAGTCTCTAGACTCAACTCCAGTACTTGGTGGAGAAGAGTGGAGTTGAAGAGTGGAGAAGACAAAGAATAAAGTTGACCAGAAAGAGGAGAAAAGAACTAACTATAAAATAGACCATTTACTCAGGAGCTTACGAAAGCTGAAGAACAAAGTAGAATTAGCAAAAGCCTAAAGTAGCAGCCATTATCATTGGTTTTTTTTGTTTGTTTGTTTGGTTGGTTTTTGTTTTTGTTTTTTGGGTTTTGTTGTTGTTGTTGTTGTTTGAGACAGGGTTTCTCTGTGGCTGTAGCAGCCATTATCATAACAACCATGTCTTAAGAACTAAGGTTGCTGGAATGTCCAGCATGCACAGGCCTGACCTTAATCTCCATCATCACAAAAAACAAACAAAACAGCACATTAAACACACAATGTACCTATTCAGCCTTAATCTGAAAGTCAGATTTATAAGGAAAAGTGACTCATTTTTATAGGAGTGCTCTGAGGAGTGACTTTTTAAAATCCTTCCTCTCTCCATCTCTTCTTCCCTCCTTCCTTCCATTAGTGTATGTAAATGCTTCTTGGGATTGTGGAGGCCCAAACAAGATGCTGGGTGTCTTCCTCTATTCCTCTGAGTCAGGGCTTCTCACTGAACCTGGTGCTCACATTTTCTCAGCTACAGTGGCAACTAGCAAGCCCTAATTATCCTTCTGTCTCTGTTCCACTCAGAACTGGGGTTATAGGGGTGTACCAGATGGCCAGTTTGCTTTATGGGAGGTGGGATCTGAACTCTGGTCCTTGTGATGTGCAGAAAGTATTCTTGACCACTGAGCCATCTCTCTAGTCCCCATAAGCGTCTTATTTTTCCATTAATTAGCATGATGAAACTATTGTTAGATTATGTATAGAACTATTACTGGATGAAGTTTGGACATTCTGGTACTTGTTAGGTACTAATGAGAACAAAGAAAACCAATGGGCAATCTGACTCTGAATTACTCAGTGGAGCTAACAATGCTTCTTAAAGGGAGATTTAGAGCGATGAGCGTGGTGGAGCCTTTAATCCTAGCACTTGGGAGGCAGAGGCAGGCAGATCTCTGTGAGTTCGAGGCCAGCCTGGTCTCTAGAGCAAGTGCCAGGATAGGCTCCAAAACTACCCAGAGAAACCCTGTCTTGAAAAAAAAAAAGGGGGGGGATTGGAAAGGGCTCTTACTTACATATCTGCTTGTACCATGACACATACATTGTGGTTGGTTGACTGTGGCAAAGCTGTATAAATGACAGTCAACAGACCTCTACCATGAGAAATGATAACATCTAGCCCTTAAGAGAATCTGAGATGGAACTATGACTCTTCCTGACTTC